AAAATCCTTCAATGGAAAAAAGGGTTTATTTTTCCCTAGAGAATTTTCTATTTTATGAGTCATTACTTATGTATAAAGCTTTATTCATCTGTTAGGTTCACAAAATTCAGTGTTCCACACTATTTTCTCATTACCAAGTAGCTAGTAATACCTTACCATTTAAATAAATTTACCTCACCAGTCCTGTAGAAATCTATATATAAACTTACTCTTCTAACTCAAGAATGGCTTGGAAGAAGTATGTATTGACCCATGATACAGAAAATAAATTTAAGATATTATTAGCAAAAAGATGAAGAAAATTCACAATGCAAATATAAATCCAGGCTCACATCTGTAACTCTGTGTCTAACACAGTGTCTAGCACATAGTACATAGTCGATAAATATGTACTGAACTGAACCAAAGAAGGCAAGATGGATGCTTCCTATAGGGTGGAAGTGAAGTTAGGTGGATGCCATGTCTAGCATGGCCAAGACAAGACTGTAGGACACAGGAAAGAGAAAAGTCATGTCGATTAGACAGGCTCAAGAAGGTCCTGAAGTAACAAAGCAAAAAATAAAAACTAATTAAATATTCAAAATGGCCCTGGGTTCACGTAGTGCTGAGATGAACAATAACACGCCTACACTGGTCAACACTCTCCTAAAAACTCCTAAAAGGTGGGGGTGGTACCGGTCGCAAGGATTCTGTAGAGCTTCACACTAGCCCATTACAGATGGCTCGCAGTTCTCAGCAACCAACTAACAACTCAAATGTGCTCAAGGAAATTTCTCCTTGAACTGAAAAATACATTTCAGACATATGACCAGATCATAAAAGGCAGTGTTTTTCAAAGCACGGTCTACAAATCATAGCCATCAGAATCACTCAAGACATTAAAAATGCACATTTCCAAGTCCCACTCAAGGCATACAATATCAGAGTGGGGAAGGGGAAGAAAGGAGGGGGAGTATTAGGAACCTGCCTTTCTAACAAAATCTTGGGTGATGCATACTAAAGTTTAAGGCCTTTGATATAAAATACTTATAATTATACACACTAGTCAGGGAAAGAAAGAGATTTTCTTCTCTACTCCTGATTTGTCACTCTTCCCACTGTTTCCTTGTTTCCTAAACATCTGTGTTCCTGTACTCTTACCCTCATTAGTTAGCCATTTTTCTTAGTTCTTTTTTTTTTTATAGTTTATTGTCAAGTTGGTTTCCATATAACACCCAGTGCTCATCCCCACAAGTGCCCTCCTCCATGCCCATCTCCCCCCTCCCCTCCCCCTATTTTTCTTAGTTCTAATACAGTATTTGGAAGATTCTTTCCCATTCTGAGGTACACAGCCCACCCCCAAACTACAGTATAATTGCTTTTTCTGTATAGGAAATAATCTACTTTGCTGTGTATATAAAATCAATTCTGATCTAAACAAATACCGAACCAATTTGATTAATGAACCATGGGTTACTAAACCATTTCATTTTTCACTCAAGTCTGTTTGGATTTGGGTAGCCGAAATTATTAAACAATATTACCCAAGGAAGATAAACCATATCTGACCTCTACTTGCAGACAATACCTTGCCTACTTGAGTAGTTTCTTTCAAGGTCATGTTGCAAGAGTCGACCAGGGAATGACGGCGTTTCTCTATTTAGCTTGAATTCAACCTAAAACACATATTTCGGGAAGAATTTCATCGTAAGGCATGATAAAATTACATACAATACTGATACATGCTACAGCAGAGATAGGCCCTGAAAACATGTTAAGTGAAAGAAGCCAGACACAAAATGGCATATCGTGTAATCCATCTATAAAGTACTACTAATAACAAAATCTACAGAGACAGAAACAGATTTGTGGCTTTCAAAGGGGGTGGGAAGAGAGAATGGGGAGTGACTGCTTAATGGATACAGGGACCCCCTTCTGGGTGACAAAAAGTTGTGGAACTACATAATGATGATGGAGGCACAATCTTGTGAATGCACAAGCTGATACGCTAATTGGTACAACTTTAAATGGCCAAAATGGTAAATTTTATGTTATGTGGGTTTTTTTAACACACACACACACACACACATACACACACACACACACTATCAGAGTCAGTTTCATGAGGTCAGATGAAACCATGTTCCAAACCACCTGCAATTCCTCCATACCCTCGGCAAAGACACAATGATTAAAAGAATCATTTTCTAGGAAACAAAAGCAAGAAACATACAGCAGAAACTAAATTCTGTTGGAAAAAGTCACTATGTTTTTATCATCAGAATTCCTGTAAGTCCAATTATAATAAAATTGTATATCTAAACCTTCTCAGAAGGTTTTTCTCTAAATTGATTTTAAATTATTTGGTAGAACTGAGAAAAACAAAATCAAAACAACCTCTCATGATTAGTCACAGAAAAAACCCTAAATACATATCTTAAAAACTAAGATGCTTCTGATTCATACACACTATACATATTATAATAGCATTTGTATCCTAATTTTATGAATTATACGAGCTAAAGGTATTTTCTTAGAACATATGTCTACCCTGGAGAGAGCAAATGGTTTGAAGAGAATTTGGACGAGGCACACATTTCCTAGAAGTGCATTATAATGATAGAACAAGATTTGTCCAGTGAGATCTACTCACAGACTTTTGGAGGGAATCCATTATGTCCAATTATAATAAAGTATACTTTCAATTAATCTAGCTAACTGCTATTTATCCAAGACGATCAAATGATCTATTTTCCCAGTGTTTATTTTCATATACATAATATCATCAACTACTACCACCTTGACTAATGGTGTCTATCATCCTTTTGACCCTCCTTACCCTCCTCATGCTGTTATTTGTAAATTGTCCTTCACTTTAGAGTTCCCTCCGTGGCATCAATTGAACAGTTTTTTTTTTTAGGAAAAATCTGAATTGTGATGGTTGGAGATATCCAACTTGGTCAAACGGGGAAAAATTGTCTTCAGAAGGTGTGGGAGGTAGGTGAATATGTTTGGACGCTGAGGTGAGATGGGAGGGAAAGAAAATCAGGCATATTAAATCTAAAGCGAGGTGTAATGGAAATGCCAAAGATACTGCACACAAATTAGGGGGAAAAAAGAATCTTATGTTCGTATCTTAACTTCTAAATAACATTAAGCCTAATGTATTTCCACTGCTAATGTATTATTTTCTCCCCTGATTTTAGATGGAATGTGGAGATGTATGCCCCCAAATTATCACATTTTATCCATTATAAGATGCCGTCGGTAGTAAAACATACCATCATTTTTACCCACTACCAAGAAAGAAAAATCTTTCCCCATAAAACTATAACATGCCATGAATTCCAAGAAGAATCCTGATTTAAGAAATGTTTAAATGCAAAAAGGAAAAAAAACCTCAGATGGCTCATTTGGTTAAGCGACGGGCTCTTGATTTCCACTGAGGTCATGATCTCTCAGTCGTGAGATCGAACCCTGCTTAGGAGTCTGCACTGAGCGTGCCGGCACCTGCTCAGGATTCTCTCTCTCTCTCCCTCTCTCTCTCTGCCTCTCCTCGTTCATGCTCTCTCTCTCTCTCTCTCTCGCTCAAAATAAAGAAACAAACATTTAAAAAAAAAGAAAGGAAAACTCACATCTTAATCATTGATGAAATAAGAATCAGCTTTTAAAAGTGGCTTTTGACTTTATGTGAGCAGGAAAGAAAAATTTGTTTTAGCTCTGCTCTTTAAATCATGCTATTTGTGTAGATTATAAAATAATTTATCTTCAATTTAAATACAGATCTGCTTAAATCTTACTTTGCTTTTTTCGGGAAGCGATGATGTCTGAATAACCAGATGAAGCCCACAGTTCACCTGCAATGTAAAAATTAAAGCATAAAATCTACTCTTAACTTAAATACCCCCCCACACACAAATATTCCTTCCCAAATCAGTACAGATGAAGATATTAAAAAAACTTGGAATAAAATAGAATGCTTGCTTTTTGTTTGTGGCAAACGATCCTGTTCTGAGGATTTGCTGAAAACAATAAAATCAGGACAAAGAATTAAAAGGTTTCACTGTGATTTATTTTCCAAAATGTCTGCAGCGATTTAACCCTCTACCTTAGCACTTCAGGTTTTTGACACTGGCCCTTCCAGGTCTAAGTAAATACCTCAGTGGGACAGGCAAAGGAGGTGGGAGTGCCTATTATTAATAATAATTTGTCTTAATTTAAAGGGGAAAAAAAGGGCTGGGGGCTGACCGGTCATAAAATGAATCCTAGCTTTTCGCAGCAGACCAGCTCCACCTTCTGGGAAACCAAGAACCTGGACAAGACTTCGAATACCCATCATTCAATATCAGATACCCTCCAAGAGCCTTGGTCCAGTCCACGAATCTCAAGCCTCGGTCAGACAATAGCTTGAGGACACTCAGCGGTGCTGGTCCCAATAATACAGCCCATCACCTAGGACAAAGACGCCAGTCAGAGAAACGATACGAATGGGAAGAAGGGGAAAGTAGGAGACCCAACCTACGTTGTTCGCAGCCCGGCCAGACACAGAGCGGTATTTCCCGGGAATCATGGCAGGAGACAGTCCAGGATCTGTTAGATCTGCCTGAGAAGCGACGCTGCAGCGGAGACTCAGAGACCGAAAGGGGTCATCTCCCAGGCAACCCGCTCAAGGGTTACCATGGAGACGACCATTTCCGGTCTGGTCCTCTCCGAAATCCACCGGCCAACCCAGTCGGCAGAACCTCTGGTGATGCTCGAGGGGGCCCTCTGCGCCCCCACCTCGTCGTCCTACTTTCCGGGCGTCGTACAAACGGAGCGGGAGTGTGGCGAAGAAGGGGCGGGGAAGAGGCCGGCCACCTCGGTCGCCGTGGCAACCACCACTTCCGGTCCGTTTCTCTTTCCGGCCCAGCTCAGCTCGGCCCGCGCGAAATTTGGATCCCTCTGCCCGCGGCCGCCTGCTCTCGGGGGAGGACTGGCGTGAGCGGCCAGAGGCCGGGATCCAGGCACCGCGTCCCCGTCTGTGGGGCCCCGGCTCGGCACTTCCGCGCGGGCAGGCGCAGGGGGCCGCGTCGCCCTGGCCTGGAAAGCGCCGGCGAGCCCAGGCCGCGGCCGCCACAGCCACCATGCCGGCCCGCTGCGTGGCCGCCCGCTGCGGCAACACCACCAAGTCCGGCAGGTCGCTGTTCCGCTTCCCCAAGGACCGGGCCGTGCGGCTGCTGTGGGACCGCTTCGTGCGCGGCCGCCGCGCCGACTGGTACGGCGGCAATGACCGCTCTGTCATCTGCTCGGACCACTTCGCGCCGGCCTGTTTTGACGTCTCTTCAGTCATCCAGAAGAATCTGCGCTTCTCCCAGCGCCTGAGGCTCGTGGCGGGCGCCGTGCCCACCCTGCACCGCGGGTCCGGCCCGGCACCTGGGGGAGCAGAAGACGGAGAGCAAGCGGGCGGCCCCGAAAGGGGACGAGAGCCCCGGGCGGCGAGGCTGGCGGAGGCCGCCCCGGGGCCTGCCCCCTGCACCCTCCTCCGGGCCAGAAAGAGGGCTGCGGCTTCACAGGTAAAGGGACACCAGGAGTCCACCGAGGGTCGCGGAAGGACCCCCGGACTGTGGCTCGGCTCTCCCGCCAGTGTCATCTGGGGAAGGTCACCTCGCCTCGACGGGTTCTCTTTCCCCATCTGTAAAATTAGGAGTGTGCGGTAATGGTGACCTCAAGGTCCTATAGAACATGAACGCTTTGGAATGATACTTCCTTCTACCCCTTCCAACCCCCCAAACACAGTCTCGCAGCCTTTTTTAAGTAGAAAGGGTTTCGTTTGGGTACATCTCAAAGAAATGGGGTGCTTGAAACTGTCTTTGCGTAACTTACGTATCCGCCCGAGGCAGTGTCCGTTATAACTGCCGATATGATGGGGTGGGAGGGGGGTGAGGGGATGCGGGGCTACTGATGAGGAGGGGGCTTGCTGATAAACTGTCCCTAGCTGCCTTTAAGTGAAATCATCTAAGTGAGCTCAGTTTTCCCACCTTCCCTCTTCTGCTACTTTAGTAATTCTCATAAGCGTGGACTATACTTAACTTTGACTCTGGTTACTATCTTCTTCCCCACTTCCCATCTTCAGACTCCCCAGCTTCTTTGAAATAATCAAACTTCAGCCCTATCACCATTAGGTAGATTAAATTAGGACTCTTAACTGGATCTAAAAGGTGTTCAATTTCTAGAGATGGGAAGCGTTCACCAAGAAGTCAAGTAACTGATCTGTAACGAATGTTTTGACTTGAATATTCAGATGCATTCATCAGGTTTTAGAGCTGACGGAAAACTAAATGCCCATCCAGTCCAAACTCACAATGTATGCCCAAGGATGCCAGTCCCGGAGGTGAGTAGTTTCCTCGCGGGCCTGTAATATTTGCTCTAGGTCTAATTGCCAGACCAAAACTTTTTTCTGCAATACCAACCTGGTTCCTACGTTGGTGCTTAGGACCCTTTTAAAGCATCCTGAAATCACTAGGACAAAGAACAAAATTATTAACAAACTACAAGTCCCTGTGTGCTTTTTTGCCCCGCTTACTATACCAGTCCTATCCAAGGCCACTGTCCTTGTGGCTCAGTATGTACCAGTCGTGCTGATCTTTTCCATTTTTGAACATGCTGTATTCCTACCAACAAGCCTTCACTCAGTTGTTTCATGTAATATCCTGCAGTTATGCCCCTTCCACTCCCCGTCATCATCAGTCAAGTCTTTTTACTTTAAAAATGAGTTCAGGGGCGCGTGGGTGGCTCAGTCCGGTTGAGCATCCTACTCCGGCTCAGATCATGATCTCACGGTCTGTGGGTTCGAGCCCTGGGTGGGGCTCTGTGCTGACAGCTTGGAGCATGGAGCCTGCTTGGGAGTCTGTGTCTCCCTCTCTCTCTGCCCCTCCTCTGCTCATGCTCTGTCTCTATATCAAGAATAAACAAAAAAAAATGTTTTTAAAAAAAGCAACTTAAAAAAATCAATTCAAACACCCTTTATTCTTTTATCCCCTAATTATATACTCTTTTTCTTCATATATTTCATATGCTTCAATAGCACATACACTTCAATAATACTCATCACAATTGTCACAAAACAATTGTGTGGTTTGCTTAATATTTGTCTTCATATTAGAATGTAAGCTCCATGAGAGCAGGGATCTTATCTGACATGTTCATTATTGTATTGGCAGTACCTAGAACAATATTGCAAATTTTAGGAATTCAATAACTATGGAATTGTGGAGTGATTATGTCACCACAAGAACACATTTTGTATACAATAGAGTGTTCACTCTACAATAGAGTGGCAGTTTCCTTTCTCACCAAGCTATATACCAGTCAAGACTTCTGCCCCATTAATTATTTATCCACTATCACTACCAATCCAACCTTTACCTAAGCACATAAATGTACCTCTATAAATAGATAAATATAAATATGTAGTAAAGGAGAGCAACTTTAAACATGTGCCATGCACACCCTTTTCTTGCTCATAGCTATACCACCTAATCACAACTTGGGAGAAGAAAAGTCAGGCTAGTGAAACAATTAAAGATTTTATAATAACAAAGGCTAATGTTGAGGGAATCCAGAACAGATACCAAACCTATTTTCCAATTAGTATATCCTGCCAAAATATCTAACAGTCCACATTCCGTTAACACACTTGTCGAGTTATTCGGAAACTGTGTTTTAATGGTAGTGACCTTAAAAGTATATAAAGTTAAAAAGAGTTTAGAGTTGTTAGGCATACATTTTTGGCCAGGTCTAGACTGAGAACCCCAGTAACATTGCTAAGGCAGTTTACTTATGCCACCTCTGATTCCTTCCACCACTCACTGTTTTCTCAGTTCCAGGACCAACTGACTAAAAATCAAATTTCCAGGCATTCTACAACTTTCACTGAGGGGCTATTGTAGGCACTGTTCTGGATGTTTGGTGCAATATGTAGATAAATATAATGGAATGCTCCCCATCTGTAGGGAGCTTGAGAAAAGATTAGGGACTATCTCCAAGGAGGAAGGGGGCTCTGAGGATCAGTGTACACTGATATTTTGCTTCGTGAGGCTATGATTATTGTTTTTCCTTAACAGTTTTGCATTCTTGCTTTTTTTATCCAACCCGAGATGACATAAGTTCCATATATATCTTCAAATTGGTTTGTCAGCTTCCACAGATTATCTGCTGGAATTTGATTGAGACTACACCGAATTTATAAATGAATGTGGGGAGGAAGAACATATTGACAATACTGATTCTTCCAATCCATGAACATAGTGCATCCCTCCATCTGGTTTTCTACATTTCTCTTAAAAATATTTTATGGCATTCTATGTAAAAGTTCTGCACATCTTTTATCAGATTTACTCCTATTTGATTTTACTATTATAAGTAGTATTTAAATTTTTATTTTTTATATATTTATGCAGATAAATTGACTTCTGTTTGACCTCGTATCCAGAAACCTTGTGGAACCTTGTTTATTCCAACAATTTGTAGACACTTTTCAATTTTGTACATGTCTAAAACATATTGGTAAATACTTTTTGATGTTCATGCTTTTATTTTCTATTCCTACTGCACTAACTAGAAACTTTAATACAGTGTTGGGAACTAAAGAGGTGATGAGGAATCCTTTTCTCCGCCTTGTTTCCAGAGGGAAAGCCTTTAGGTTTACCATTTGATATGATTTATACTATAGGGGTTTTTTTGCAGTGCTTTTTATCATAAAAAGGAATATTCCCCTCTATTCCTGCTTTTTGCTACAGATTTAATCATAAGTGATGTTGACTCATATTGAGTGTTTTATCTATTTTCTGAATCTATTCGTGATCCTATATTTTGTCTATTATTCTGTTATTGTGGTGAGTTATATTGCCTGGTTTTGAAATAACAGAATCAAACTTGCATGGCTGAAGTAAACACAATTTCACCAAAGTGTATTACTCTTTTTTATATACTGCTTCATTTGATTTGCTAATGCTTAGGATTTTTGCAAACTTGATCTATGGTTTTTCCGTATTGAAATTCATTTCTCAGCTTTAGTGTCAAGATTATGCTGACCAGTTTGGAGTTATTTCTTCTTATATCATTCTCTGGAAATGTTTCTATAAATGGACATTATACAGCATTAATAAATTTGGTATTAATATTTGGTAGAGTTCAGTTATTCAATTTTTTGTTTCTATACTTATTTTGATAAATTGTGTTTTCTAAAAATTCATCAGTTTAAATTTTCAAATATATGGACACAAAATTGCTTATATTATCTTTTGAAATTCTATATGATATGTAGACTATATGATATGATTTTTGCTTTTTCATTTCATTTCATTTTTGATCTACTTCACCAGGTGCTTATTGATTTTCTTAGTCTTTTCAAAGAATAAACTTTGCCTGTTGATCTGTTCTCTGGTATTTTTTTTCTTTTTTATTCTTTTCTATCATTTTTCCTTCCCTGTACTTATTATTTTCAACTTTGATTTTTTTCATTGATGGGTTAGATTTATACATCACTGAGCTAAATGATTAACCTAGATCTTTTCATATCTATTTTTCCATTAAATAAGCTTGTTAAAAAGCGAAAAGCTTCACTTACACTAGGATATCCTTATGTATTCAGATGTGATATTTCATGCAAAGAATATCTTAAGAATAACTGACTTGTGTATGTGTAGATAAGACAGTGAATTACCAAACTTTAAATTTTGCCCGGTTTCTTAAATTTAAAAAGAAAACAAAACATTTTTTCCAATATTTTAAAAATCATTTTTGTAAGACTTTTAGAGTTTTAGGTGCACAGCAAAATTGAGGGGACTATAGAGAGATTTCCCATATTCCCACTGCCCCCACACATGCATCGCATCCTCCACCAAAGTGATACATTTGTTAGAACTGATGAACCAACATTGAAACATCATTATCACCGGAAGTCCATAGTTTACATTCTAGTTCATTCTTGGTTCTTCTACTTATTAAATTTTTATTTACTCTACTTCTATTCTTCCACCAAATTAGATCATCGATTTTTCAGAATTTCCATATGAATGACAGATGGGGGATAAGTTTCATATGCTTATTTCCCAATTGTAGAATTTTTCATCCTAGAGTGGATGAAAAATTGACTCCTGAAATAAGGATACGTTAGAGATCTTTTGTGGAATACTTTTTTTTACATGATGTTAATAATTACAGTCTAAAGTAATCAAGCCTAGTCAACTTTTCTATACTCTTTTATGCATGTGAGACCAAACACTGCCATGGAAGCATGGCATTAACTGAATCCCGTAAGTTTTTGATGTAGAGTATTACTATTATTATTTAGTTTGAACTATCTTTTTATTTTCATTGAAGTTTATCTTTTAATTTTGTTTTCATGGGTTACTTAGAAGTGTATTTTAAAATTTCCAAACACAGGCATTTTGTAGTTCTATTTTTGTTATAGATTTCTATATCAATTATACTGTGGCCAGAGAGTATATAACATATGAATTTAATCTTTTGAAATTCGTCAAAACTTGTATTAGGCAAAACATAGGTAAGTGTTTGTAAACATGCCATATTCAGGTGAGATGAACGTGTGTTCTGCAGTTGGGTACAATATTCCATACATGTCTATTAATGTTTAACTGTTCTATATCCTTATGGAATTTTTGTCTGCTTCTTGTATTGATATGCCCCTGTGATTTTGAATTTACATATTTGGTCTTCTAATTATAACAGTATTTTTGCATTATATAGTGCTAATATAGCAACATCAGCTTTCTTTAGGTTAGTGTTGGCATAGTATATCTTTTTACAGCCTTTTACTTTCAATCTTTCTGTATCCTTACTCACTTATGGTTGCCCCTTTGAAGAGAATGCTTTTTTCCTGTGGCTGCTTCTCAGTTTTTCTCTGTTTTCCATTTTTACTGTAATGTGCCTAGATATGCCTTCCTTTGTTTTTATTTTGATAAATACAAATAGTACTTTTGTCAAACTGTGTCTTAATGTCTTCTGTCCATTTTAGTTAATTTTCACATGAGATTTGCTCAAATATTGCTTGTGTCCCATTTTTTTCTTTTTATCTGGGACTACAATAATATCATATACAATACCTTTTCACCTTATCTGCTATCTTTTGTAATCTTTTCTATATTTTCCATCTTTTTGTCTCTCTCTGCCTCACTTCAAATATTTTCTTTTGATGCATGTTCCACTTGATCAATACATATTTGGAAATTCTGCTTCTTAACCTTTTAAGATTAAGAAGTAATCAGATATGTGCACAGAAGATTTATGCCCACAAAGATTTCCAATATAGATTGTTTTCATAAATTACAGTATATCTGTACAATAGATTGTATGCAGCCATAAAAATTATGTAGAATATTTAATAATATAGAAACATGATATATTAAAGGATAAAACAAGGTTATAAAACATTATCCAATTAAAAAAACATAAATAGCAAAAGACCAAAAAAATTCCAAACTATAAAGTTGTTAGCTATGGATAAAGAGATTACGGCGATTTTTTAGTTTATTTTTGCTTCTCTGGGTGGGTGCAAATTTTTCTCAGTGATAAAATGTCTTCTTCTAATGGGAACAGAAGTTATTTTTTAAAGCATGATTTGATTCCTAAAATGCCATTTTAATGAGGCATAAATCTGTTCTGTAAAGAAATAACGTACTTATTCTAGACTCTTGGCTTGGCTTAGAAGTAGATATAGCCAGTGGAAATTAGTCATAATTATAAACAGAAATAAAGGTAGGACTTATATTTTGATTTAAGTCCTTAGTAATAGGAGATATAATTGTTTCTGTTACAAAGGGACTCTTCACAAAGTATCTTTAATGTCTTGCTAGCAACCAAAGATGCCAGCTAAAGTATTTTTTCAGTGGTCTGAAGCTACTTGCCACTATCAGGGCACTAGATAAAATTGCAAAGTACTTTTATTTTGTTTCTCTATCACTTCTTATTTTTTCTTCCCACAGTCCCCCTTACACATTCCAGATGTCCTTTCTTAGCCTCTTCCACATAAATTCTAGGCACTCAAGTCTTAGGTTACCTTCTAAGTATCCAAATCCTCCTTCTTTCTACCTCTCACTTCCCCCATGAGTCAGAATTTCCATCTTACATTGTATTTTTTTTCCTCAGGAAAGCATAAAATCATTAAAGCCAATCATATTATTATTTTTTAAACCAATCATATTATTGTATCAAAGTATTTCTCTCCAAGGGATGAAGGACTGAGATTGGGTTTTCTAGAGTAATTACTGCTATACTATCTAATAATTTAATACTAGTAGAATTATTTCTTACAGCAACTGATTTAGGGGGAAAAACAATGAGTTGTAAGCAAATAGCTTAATAGCTTATAGATTTCTGTTTGACCAGAATGCTTAGCAATTTGTGGTTGCAAATAGTAAAGAACAATATGGCAGAGTTCTTGAGAACTTGGACTATGAAGCCAGCTTGCCTGGGTTCAAATTCCAGTCTTCCTGATATGTGACCTTGAAAACTATTATTTATAGTCTTTTACTACTTCTCACTTTTGAAAGATAAAACCATACTAGTTAGGCTTACCTTTGATATAGTTCTCTGATTCATATTTTTAGATTACATGTGAAAATGAAATTGCACAAGCACAAGTCCATGCTGATCATCGATCTCCTGGTGTCGCTTCAGTACCTCCTTACTGTGAAGAAGGCCCAGTGCATAAAAGTACACAGATTTCTCTGAAAAGGCCCCCTCACCGAAATGTTGGTATGTTTTGACTCTTCTGTTCATTTATAATTGAGTTAATCTTCTGTATATGAAAGGTATGTGACAAGCCAAGGGTCATTCACAGGCAATCATGTTTATTCCCTGCAGGCATTCAGGCCAAGGTAAAAGGGTTTGGAAAACAACTGTGTAACACCACTACTCAGACGGATGAACTGCAGTCTAGAAGTGCCTCTCTCTCTGACATTTACTCATGACTCAGAGACGGACGTTGAGAGTGAGCAGAGCGATTTGTCTTACATTGCTGTGCAGGTGAGAGAAGAGTCCTGTTCAAAACTCCACATCAGATGACTTGGCATGCCATAGGTTTTCCAATCTTTGCTCACATCATTACTTCTTTGCTCCCATGAATCTTTCACTTTGAGATAGTTGAGCATCAGCAAAATTTGTTTAGCTCTAAGGCAAAAATGTGGCTGTCTGCCAAGGTAATGAAGGTAATACTGCCCACAAGCCTCCCCACCTCCCACTTTACCATTTTTTTTTTAAATCCTTGGTGGAAATCGGATTATAAAACAAAACCACAGTAGCAACATTTCCAGATCAAGATTAAGCACTGAATATTTAAGCTTGCTGCAGAAGCAACCCCCATATGGGACTTACTTGACATTTACAAGTTAGAATGTCACCATCCGAAATAATTTGAAGATACTAGTAAGCACAGCCAAGTCTGATACTGTTAAATGATTTGGGGGTGGAGTCAGGAGATTTACCATTGATTATTATTTTTTATGTTGTGTATTTATTAGTTTGTCCATTTGTAATACCATTCAATCTGGATCGGTCCCTGGGTGCATTACTGGTGAAGCTATGGCTCATACAGAAAATTTTCGAAGGGAATTAATTGAAACAGAGGGAGAGCTTCATATACTTAGATTACCTTGTTGATGAAATCTGCATTGGTTCCCATTGCAACAAACCAATTAGCTTGATTCATTTCGATTGAAATTATTAGCATCATGCAAAAAAAAAAAAATTAGTACATTTCTAATGTTATCCCCATGTCAGGAATTGGGTTTTCCTCTATTAATACCACTCTGTTGAATTCCACATTAGGGAAATAAGCATGTGAAACTTAGCTGCTCCATCTGCCACTCACCAGGAAAATGTCTCTGGCAATTCTGTACCATGAAGTGATTTGTTACAATGGTTTCTGAGAAACTTATTAGAACTCTGATCTTCTATTGAGAATAATAAAAACAAATGTCCATTTTATACTTCACATGTCTTGTGCATGATTGGAAGAACTTGCATGATTTGTATCCTAGATTTAAATAAGATACCAAAGTGATTTTCTCCCAAAGCCAGTTTCATGTGTGACTTAATTTTAATAAAAAGAATAATAAAATAAACAAAATATTACTAAAAGTTGTGAGCCTGAAGTATCATTGTGTAAACATAATAGTATCATCATCACCATTATTATTATTACTATTATTATTATTATTATTATTACTGCTGTTTTGGCTTGACTTTGAGATGACTATTTTATGTTTTAAGAGAGCTTTATGTTTTGTGGGGATTTTTTGTTTTTTTACTGTTTACTTATTTATTTAAAAAAATTTTTTAATGTTTTATTTATTTCTGAGAGAGAGAGAGAAAGACAGTGTGAACAAGGGAGGGTCAGAGAGAGAGGGAGATACAGAATCCAAAACAGGCTCCAGGCTCTGAATTAGCTGTCAGCACAAAGCCTGACACGGGGCTCGAACCCACGAACGTGAGATCATCACCTGAACCGAAGTCGGACGCTTAACCAACTGAACCACCCAGGCGCCCATGTTTATTTATTTTTGAAGAGAGAGAGAGACAGAGCATGAGCAGGAGAGGGGCAGAGAGAGAAGAAGACATAGAATCGAAAGCAGACTCTAGGCTCCATGCTGTCACCACAGAGCCCAATGCAGGGCTCAACCCTATAAACTGTAAGATCATGACCTGAGCTGAAGTCAAACACTTATACTTGACTGCACACCAACAGGAGCCCCAAGAGACCTTTATGTTTTAAAATTAAGCACATAAATCTTCTGAAGCTAAATACTATCAGTAAGTACCTATTGTCCCTTGGGCTTTTAAAGATCCTATCTTCTTAATTCTAATCGTAATGAATATTATATGCCCATTAATCACCAAATTTCACTGCCATGAGTTTACTTCTATGTGTTAAACAACTTTGAGAGCTGTAGTAGTTCTTTCTCTTCATTTCTTTCTTACTTTCTATTCAGTTAGATTTTTCTTCTCTCACCAATTGAGAATTTATGTTTGGTTTGTTGAAGCACATGATTTTATTATGTCCTGAAGTAAAATGAAATCCTGGCTTTGTTTTAAATGTAAGGAACTTCTGGCTTATATATACATACTGATTACTGTTTGTATATTTTCAATTATCTTAATTTCTTTCGTTCCCAGATGAGTTTAATGGGAAAGAATGAGATATACCTCAAGACTTCCCATATCATTTTTCATTCGTTTATTTAATAAGTACTTATTAAACATACTCTGTGCCAGATAACTATTCTAGACACCAAGGTATATTCGTGAACAAGATAAAGATTTGGCCCTCTTGATGCTTACCTTTTAGAGGAGAGCCAGGCAATAAACAAGGAAATGAATGAATAATTTTAGATAATGATTAGTGCAATGAAGAAAACAAGGCAGAGTAAGATGTTAGAACATAATTGGGGTCAGGGAGAGGGTTTGCTCTTTTAGGTAGGGTAATCAGGAAAGGCCTCTCTAAAGATAAAATATTTGAGCAGAGACCTGGACAATCAGAAGAAGCAACCATCTAAGGATTGGAGGGCAGAGCATTCCACATGATAGGAATGGCAGGTGCTCTGGTATTTGAGGAAGAACAGGGAGGCTAGGGTGGCTGGAGATAATGAACTAGGCAGAGAATGATAAGAGATGAGATTGGACTGGTATACAGAACCAGACCATGTAAGGCCTTTGGGGCCACAATCAATCATTTTCATTTTTTTCTAGACTTACAGTCTATTTTAAATGTATTGTATGGCTGGCATATTGCCAGTATTTCTTATACTTAAAAAACATAATTGGATTCACATGTAAAATCATTGGACTTTAGGCAAGAGAAGAGAGACGTGTCAAGAGTATGTGAATATACAGCTTGCTCTGTCAAAAATATTCCTCAGTGGGAATTCTGGAGAGATGATGGCGGTGATGATGTCTTTTCTTTTGAATCTCCCCAAATTTCCTCATGGAAGCAAACAGAGCGGTTCCAATTCTGTTAGTGGCAAGGTAGCTTGTATCAGATTAACCGTCCTGTGGATAACATGTATAGAAAACAACTTTAAGGGACCCAAAGAGCATCAAAAGTAGGTTGAAATAGCAAGTCATCCTTAAAAGAGGTGAACGGCAGTGGACGAGATATCCTTTGTGTGCCTTCCCGCCCCAGTGCACTCCCCGTTCTGTGCTCTGAAGGGCATCTAGAACTCAAGTAGAAAGTTACCATCTTACTGGCTTGAGGAGTCAGAGTTGAAAATTAAGGGCTCCTGGAGTGAAAAGTGGCAGGGCAAGTCATAGAAAAGTCAAAGCCACTGGGGAGGAGGGCCAAATCTGCTTATCAACCACCCAAGTCTTTGACAATCACCGAAGTACACATGTGTTGTATGGAGAGACCTCAGTGATCCCCAGTAGAAAGAAACAGCTGGAAGCCTTAGCTTAGTTTGATCTTGGAGTTTGAGTCCAGCCAAGTTCACTGGCTGTTAGAACAAAATCCATCATGCTTTAGAATAAGATGACAGAATTTGTCATCTAAAATGTCCAGCATAATATTGAAAATCACTTGTCATGTAGAGAAATTGGAAAAGTGTGATCCATAATCAATACAAAAAAGGAAGCAATAGAAATCAACTCCAGGATAACCAAAGTTGTCATTAGCAGAGCTGTCATTAGCAGAGAAGAACTTTAGAAGAGCACTTAAAATAAAACGTATTCAAACAGAAAAATACAGCAATACCAAATGAAAAGACAGGGAATCTAAGAAGATAAAAGGAAACTAGAAAAAAGAAGCAGATGGAAATTCTAGAGCTGAAAAGAGACAAGCTATCAAAGCTGACACAAGAAGAAACAGAAAACCAGAAAACCTGAATCACTCTATATTTTTAAAGAAGTTGAATTTGTAATCATAATCCTTTCACAAAGAAAATTCAATGCCTAGGTGACTTCACATGTAAGTTCTATCAAACACATAAGGAAAAAATGCAAATGTTACAGAAACTCTTTCAAGAGAAGCATTAAGGAACACTTTCCACTTCATGAGCTCCACATTATCCTATTACCAAAACTGGGCAAAGACATGATAAGAAATTACAAAGCAATATCCCAATGTGAATGTAGGGGCAAATATCCTTAACAAACTATTAGCGAACATATCCTGCAATGTAACAATAATACATCATGTCCAAGTATAGTTTAGCTCAACACTGCAAGATTAGCTTCATGCTCAAAAATTAAACAATGCAATCACCGCATTACGAGAATAGAGGAGAAAAATCACATGATCATCTCATTTAATTTAGAAAGAGTATTTGAGGGGCGCCTGGGTGGCTCAGTCAGTTAAGTGTCCGACTTCAGCTCAGGTCATGACCACACAGTCCATGGGTTTGAGCCCCACATCAGGCTCTGTGCTGACAACTTGGAGCCTGGAACCTGCTTCCGATTCTGTTCTTCCTCTCTCTCTCTCTGCCCCTCCCCTGCTTGTGCCCTCTCTCTGTTTCTTAAAAGTGAATAAATAAACATAAAAAGAAAAGAGTATTTAACAAAAATCAAGATCCATTTATGATAAAGACTCTCCACAAACTAAGAGTAGAAGGGAACTTGTTTCTCAGTCTGATAAATGACAGCCATGATATAGGTACCAATAATATCAATAGTTAATGTTCAAGGGTTGAAACTATCAGGAACAAGGCAAGGATATTCATTCTTCAGTACTTCTAGTCAAAATTGTAGTGAAGATCCTAATTAGTGCAATAAAGACAAAAAGAAAAAAAAGTAAAATGCATAGAAGTTTAAAAGGAAGATATAGAGGGACCAGATTGCCTCTGTTGACTGAGCATCAACTCTTGATCTCAGCTTAGTTCATGATCCCAGGATTGTGGGATCCAGCCCCACATGGGGCTCTGCACTGAGCGTGAAACCTGCTTAAGATTCTCTCCCTCTGTCTCCCCCACTCGCATGTGCTCTCTCTCTCTCTCTCTCGCTCTCTCAAATTAAAAAAAAAAGTAATAAAAGGAAGATATAAAACTTTTAAATACAGATCATGTACATAGAAATGCCCATGGGATCTACAAAAAGCTAATCGAACTAATAAGTCAGTTTAGTAAAGACATGTATAAAAACCAATTGTATTGCTGCATATTAGCAATGAACAATTGGAAAGTGAAATAAAAAACCGACACCATTTACAATATAAAAATACAAAGGGTTTAGAATAACCCAAGTGTTGGATAGAGAAGAAGCAACCTGAAGTCTCATACATGGCTGATGAGAATGTAAAACGTTAAAACCACTTTAGAAAACGGTTTGGCAAACTTTTATAAAGTTAACACACCCATATCATTCAACCAAGCAATTCAATTCCTAAGTATTTATCCAAGAGAAATTAAAATACATGCCTACACAAACACTTTTACAAGGATGTTTCTAAGAGTCTGAATCTGAAAACAACCCAAATGTTCATCAACAGGTGAATGGACAAGCAAATTATAGTATATCCAGACAATGGAATTCTCCCAGCAATAAAAGAGAACAAGCATGTGTGTAACAATGTGGATGAATTTTGAAAACATTTTGCTGAGTGAAAAAAATCCAGATTCAAATAAGAGTACATGTACTGTATTTCCATTTGCACAAAATTCTAAAAAGGAGAGAGAGAGACAGAGAGAATCAATCTGTAGAAAGAAAAAGATAATCAGCAGCTGCCTAGGACTGGGGCAGAGAGGAAACGACCTGCAAAGGGGAGAAGGAAATGTTTAGGTTAATGTGGGTGTTGTAGACCCTGATGTGGTCATAGTTACATCAGTACATATCCTTGTGGTGGTGTCAATTATACCTTTATGAAGCTGACTGAAGAAAACAGCAATACATGCTAATTGCCAAATGACCAGTAAAAACAACAAATTCTGTAGTTTTTTTAAGGTAGACTTCACAGAAGAAGCAGAATTGGAATTGCCCTTTCAGAAGAGATAAGATATAGATGTTCTACAT